TTAAATAAATAAAAAAATCACATTGTCCTCCCTATAACTGACATGGTGCATAGGAGAAGCTGGGCTTGCTCAGTGAACATATGAGTGGATGAATTTTCAGATTTACACTGAAAGGAATGTTAATTCCTATGGTTCTTTTGCCCGTAGTTAGACTCAGCTGAATTGTGTTACCCTTAATAACCACAGCCCCTGATGGCTGCCTGCTAGAATTCAGACATTCACTCTGTGTCTGTTCATTACATCAGACAATATGAAGACACCTCTTGGTGTCCCCTTGCACACTCACCTGGGTGAATAAGGCAGGAGTCACATTCATTGTCCTCATTCCTACAACAGGGGATGGTGTAACCCACTACTTCCTTCTTTCCTGGGCAGATACACTCAATCTGATCGTATTCACAACACTCCCGACACATGATGTTCCACTCAGCTCCAGGGCAGGCTTCGTTAATCACTGTGTATTCTGCAATAGAAAACCGGCAGGTGAGGCTAGGGCCTGGTAGGCAACAGAAGACCAGCAAGCACTCTGCCATTAGAAAGGAATCTTGACCTGCAGGAGTGTTGCCTCGCCTGAATGAGATAGCATGAATTCTTCCCAGGCCAACATCTCGAAGTGGAAACACTGAATACCTAACGAGTATTCAAAGCCATTCATTGGAGCACAGATGAAATCTGTTGTTCACTTAATTTTTATTTTTAAAAATAAATAAAGAAAATCTGGAGGCTCTAGATGTAGTTCAGTTCATAGAGCACTTGTCTCACATACATGAAGCCCTAGGCTTGGTCCCTAGCCCTACATAAACTGGATGTAGAAGTGCATGCTTGTAATCCCCAGCACTTAGAAAGCAAAGGCAGAACGATCATGCGTTTAAGGTCATTCTTGACCCATAGAGCAAATTCAAGACCTTGTTTAAAAAAAAAATCACGTTTCAGCAGTATATAATCGAAGGAGACACAGTAGAATATCTTCATGATTTATAAACAAATACGAATGTCTTTAGGTTCTGCTTGTTTTGTCTGTGTTAGGACTTAAAACCATAGCACACATCACCAAGCTATACCCTCAGCTCTTGTTTCTATTTTTCATGAGATATGTCAGACTGCACAGATGGTATACTGAACATGCCAAGGGAGACCATTCAACAGCAGAGCTACACAGTGTAGCCTAGCCATGGGGCCCATCAAAAAAGTCCAGAGACCACTGGGACCATCCAAGTGCAAGGTTGATGGCCAAGTGGAGACGACATCATTGCTTCCAAACCTGGCTCCTCAATTTTGTACCAGGCTATTTTCATAGTATCTTCAAAGCTAAACTCAGGAGAAAAGACAAAAAGTACCTTCATTAGTGTGTTTGGGAGAATTTCAAGGGTGAACTCATTAGTCCAACTTCATTCAGTCCCAAGTACAGACAAGCATTCTTTACCCCAAGAAAATGTATCTGTAGGTAGGATATTTTTCCTTTCTTTTTCATTTATCCTTTAATAGACACAAAAAATATACCTTAAGTAAAAAAAGAAAACCATTTGGCAAAATCTATAAAAGGAATCAGTTGGAGGCTTCACTGAGGAACTCCAGCTGAGAAACAGACCTGCTAGCTTTGATTTGGTGTTCTTGTTGTTTTTCTTTTTTCCCACTTTCCATTTCTAAAAATGTTGCATAGAGAAGAGGGTCAGGCATTTGAGGAAGAGTGAACCCAGGCAAGTGCCCATGAGCCCTCCTCGCAGCTGTATGCTGGCATTTCTGCATGCTTTGTGCCTAGCATCTGTGTCGGCTTCTAGACCTTGACCTTCATCACTTATCTTTCTATTTTCCTGCCCCAAATTTGGGGATTCCAACATAGGATTACTTACTATTGATTCACCAAGTAGATCCATAAAAAATTGCCATCTACTCCCAGGCTCAGGTTCTTAGAGTCAGGCAAAAGAACCACATGTATATTATGGTATACTTTTTAAAATTCAGTAGGTTTTGTGTTATGAAAATTTGGCTTTCTTTCATCCTTTTGCACAAATATGGGTGGACCAGCAAAGACCCTCACATTGGCAATAGACTAGCATCATGAGGATTGCTTCCAGAACTTTCTGCTCTGTACTCAGCTGAACCTCCATGCTGTTAGCCCATGAAGTGCCCAACTTCTGAAATCTAAATGGGATCAGAAGACTGGACACTGGATGGAACCCAGGGGCAAAGTACAAGACTGGAGGCAACGGACTTTCAGCTATGGCTGCAAAAGCACGAGCTGCAAAAATGAACAGATAACTCAGACTTCGTTAAAGTTAAAATGTTTTGTACATCTAAGGACATTATCAAGAAAGTGAAAAGACAGGCCAGGAAATGGGGAGGGGGATACTTTCAAATCATATATTAATACAAATTTAATGTCCAGATCTAAAAAAGAAATTCCCACAACTCAACCAAAAAGAGGCAAAAACCCAATTTTTTAAATGGGCAAATTACTTAAACAGGCATTTCTCCAAAAGAGAGATTCAAATGGTCAAAAAGCAGATATAAGAAAAATCACAAGCCAATTAGGAAACACAAGTCAAAATCACAATGATATGCCATTTATGAGGATGACTAACACCCAGATTGAAAAAGAATAAAGAAAATGATGTTGGCAAGGATGTAGAGAAACTGGAACCCTCAGACATCACAGCAAGGAAGGTGACACAGCTGTTGTAAAACACAGCGGGGCAGGTCCTCAGAAAGTCATCGTAGGATTACCACAAGCAATTCTGCTCCTTGGGAATAAATTTTTTTTCAAACTGAAAGCAAGGGCTCAAAGACAGTTTTATACCAATGCTCACAATAGCCAAAAGGTTAAAATAACTCACTGTCTCTCACGAGGTGAATGGATAAACAAAATAAGCAGTATGTATAGAATGGAATATTTTTCAACCATGACAAGAAAGGAAATATTGACACATGCTACAACATTGATGAACTTTTTGGGGGGAGAGTGTTTTTGAAACAGAATCTCCTTGTAGCCCTAGTTACCCTGGAACTCACTATGTAGACCAGACTGGCCTCAGTCTTCACAGAACTCCACCTGCCTCTGCCTCCTGAGTGCTGGGATTAAAGGTGTGCACCACCACACCTGGCTTTAATATCAATTAACTTTGAAAATATACCAAACAAAAGAAGCCAAGGGATAAATAGTCTCATTTTACTTAGATGAAATACTTACAATTAGCAAATTCATAGACAAAGAGTAGAGGTTATCAAAACCCAGGGAAAGGCTGACAGGGGAGTTAACAGCTAGAGTTTCTATCTGAAGTGTCAAAAAAGTTTTGGAAGGAGATGAAATGGTTATGCAACAGTATGACCGTGATTAATGCCTGTGGGCTGTACTAAAAATAGATTAAATGGCAGGTTTTATGTTTGCATATAGTGTACATTTATAAAAATGTACATTTATATCCACATAACTTATGCTTAAAAAGTGGGCATAGGAAAGCTCAAGAAAACAAAATGGTCAAGGGTCAAACATTGGAATCAGACAGATACCTGAGTTTAAAATTCCGTCCTTGCTACTGACTAGGTGAGTGACCTTGGCTAGGTTACTTGACACTGTCAGCCTCAGTTTACTACCCAGTATCATGAGTGCATTTCATCCAATTCTGGCCTGGGAAAAAGAGTAGTCAACACACTATATCTAAGGAGCTTCATGGTGCCAGGCATCAGCATCTGCTAATTAATAGCTTAAACACAACAGTAACAAGCATACATTTCTCAAGGATCTTATTTTTCAAGTATGTATCATATTGGTTTCTCCCTTAAGCTATTCAAGTTGCTTACCACTACTTTGGGATAAGCCTCCAAAGTTCTGTGGTCCACAGAGCTTTGGACAGCCTGCTAACTGTTTCTCACCTTCTCTCAGTTTCTCAGAACCCCCAAATGCATTCTTACCCCAAATCATTCCTCCTTGCTTTTCCTATGGCCTCTGTTTCAGCTTTGCATCACACCTGGTCAGAGAAGGTCTGCCCTGGTCTTATCAGAAGAGTATCCCACATACACCCACTATTCTATCGCACACAGTATCTATTGGTTGTCTTTTATCCCTCAGAGCAACTTGTGATCTTTTTGTATGTATTACAGACAGCCTTCAATATCCATGGGTCCTCAATATCCATCCACAGATCATACATTTTCAAGGCAAAAGTATAAGTTTTTATTTCTCCTATATTAAACATCTATAGACTTTTTTAAAAAAATGGGTTTTGTGCCAGATATGGTAGTGTATGCCTTTAGTCCCAGCACTTGGCAGAAGCAGATGGATCTCTGTGAGTTCTAGGCCAGCCTGGTCTACATAGTGAGTTTCAGGCCAAACAGGGCTATATAGTGAGACCCTATCTCAAAAAAAAAAAAAAAGTTTTGTCGTGTTCTGTTGAAGCTGTCATTTTAATTTTGTAGATGAACTGCACAGTCCTGAGCCCACATTCCTCCACTCTAGTGCCTCCCTTATCAGAACGTATATTTTTTTCTTTTTCTTTTTTTGATTGATTCTTTGAGAATTTCATCCAATGTATTTTGATCATATTCAGACCCCTCTCCCCAATCCCTACACCTGCCTTACTGCCTCCCAACTTCATGCCTTCTATTTTCCTTTTTGGTCTTTTTGAGACAGGGTCTCCCTGTAGCCCCAGCTGTCCTGGAACTCACTGTGTAGACCAGGCTGGCCTTGAACTCAGAGATCCGCCTGCCTCTGCCTCCCGAGTGCTGGGATTAAAGGCGTGCGCCACCAAGCCTGGCTTTCTATTATTATTTTTAAGGTCTATTGAGTCTAATTTGTGTCCCCAAATGCTCCTGGATGTGGGTCTACCCCCTGGAAACTGGTCAACCTATGTGACATCACACCCTTAAAGAAAACTGAGTCTTCTTCTCCTAGAAGCTATCAATTGCCAGTAGTTCCTCAGCTAGTGCTGGAGTTTCTTGCTGATGTCCTCCATTTATACTGGGTTTTTATCTGGCTTGGGCTTGCAGAGGCCTTTTGCATGATGTCACAAGCACTGTGGGTTTGTATAAGCAACTGCCCTATTGTGTCTGTAAAACACTGTTTTCTTGTATTCATTTACCACCTCTGGCTCTTGTTACTAGGCCTGATATCAGTGCTGGATATGGGCTCTGTCTTGTAAACTGAGCCTTAAATTCAGTCAGAAGGTAGTTATTTACTCCCATAACATTCATGCCACTATCACACCAGTAGACATATCTTGCCAGGCCAGTTGTTATTGTAGTTTTCAGGGTTCACAGCTGGGTAAGGTTGATGATCACTTTTCCCTTTCAGTAGCATGTATAGCACCTTCTAGCACTCTATAAGCTAGCCAGTAGAGATGAAGCTTTGAGGTCAGTATCAGCTTGATTTATGTTTTGTTTTTCTACATCTCATGTATGTAGTGTCTTCAGCAATAGGGTCTTACATCAAGTTCTGATGGGTAATCAAGAGCAATGGCAATAGCCAAT